CATTAGAGAGTTGTTGTTTTCTTTTCGCGTGAAATAATTTCATACTTTGAACACTTTCTTCTTCGTCCCTTTCTATTTTCTCTCTCTTCCTCCACTTTGCAAACAGCGCCATCATAATCACATTGTCTTAACTTGATCACAGTGTAACCGCGATGTGCGACATTAATAAATGTCTGTGCGCTATAGGCTATAGTTACATGGATTAAATGAAGCATCAACGCAAAGTATAAGTTAATAGTACTGTGTGTTAAGCAGAAGTTAATCAGTGCATCAGTTAATTTACTTTAAGTATTTCATCTCAACTGAAACTCTGCAGCCTGAGGTTCCTAAGGTCTGATAGCTCTGAGGGGCTTAGCTTAGTTTAGAACTGTTAGGCAAACAACAGGACGGCTATCTTATTAGCAACAGTTTATTGGGCCATCTTGTTTAATACTTGACGTCACGTAATACGTGATGTTGAAAGGGGAGAGACGTCTGCAACCTCTCCAGGTTCTTTATAGAGGACAGAGTGTCGATCCTGCAGCTGCTTTGCTCTTTCGTTGGCACTGCTCTGTAGCATCACTTTCATATGGGCTTGCTTGTATCCTTTGCCAGCATCCCATCACAAGTGAGGAGTACTAGCCAATCACAGCACAGTAGGGCGGAACTTGTCGAAACTCTGGCAGGGTAAAAACACAATTCAAATGGAGCGAATGAGAAGAGAAGGAAGCACCATGAGTGACAGGAGGCGGGACTGTGTGGGCACTGCAGCGGTGAAGAGAAGCACATTTTCAGGAAAATGAATGAAAACTGTTTGAAATATTCAGAATTAATATGTATCAATGTATCAATATTTTTATGTAGAAGATACACGAATCTTTTTCAAATTTGATCCCATCTGTTATTTCTTACTAGTAGCTAAAGTTGTCAATGGGTGATTGAAATCACCATAAGCAAAATAGATGCATAATAGGTTAAATGAATATGAAATTACAATCTAACTATATATTTGTTCTACCAGGGCAGTAAAAGTTATTTCGATGATCTGAGTTTCCGTGCTGTAGGCTACCATTACCCTTTTATTGCCGATAATATGATCAGCTGATTGTCTCACAAACATAACCGACACATTTCTGTCCACGTAGCAAAGTCAAAACACAGCGTTGGATAATAACTACATGAAATTGTATATTTTACAACATTGATGGGAAACACGCCACTTGTCTCTGTGATTAAGCCTGTCTTCTAGCTAAAGCTATCAAACAACAGTTTTCATCCGCATTGCTGAAGTTGGGCAAACTTAATAACTTTTCCAGCAGAAAACAGGCAACTTCAGCGCCACTTTGAAAACATTTGTTCTCAACAGAGCCTTCCATTTGGGAAAATCCTGAGCCTGATTCAACTGTCAATCTCACAGTCGAAGCTTTGCAGCGTAACAAGGATCATGCCATTTTGGCAATATGGGGGTGCTCAACGTCTGATTTTACATAGAACTACCAGTTTTCTCCCAATAAGTTAATATACAGCTTATTACAATATACATTTCAGCATTTAATGCTGTAAATAAACATGTAAATAGAATAAAACTTTCAATAAATGTTTTTGAAGTGCGTGAATAAATCCAAAATTGTAACCCTAACCCTGGGTCATCAGTACGCATGTGTAACCGTAGCGTGTATGTGTATAATTGCAGTGGAGGAACACTTGCTGAAGAGACGGAGCTCCAGCTTCACTGGTGTTGTGCCGAGTTGTGTGAACCTCACGGGACTTTAACTTTAATTTATCACCGTTGATGAACCACACAAAGAATATTATAGTGTTTTTAAATAGCCTGCTACTTGAAATACACCCGCAAGGAACCGTGACGTGCATGCAGTTGTTGGCAGCAGTAATGCACGTAACACTCTTCACAAGACCGGTCAATGACAGGCGAGAGAGAGAAAGAGCGCCTCAGTTTAGCTGGAAATTTACAGTGTAAGAAAAGAGACTGCAGCTCTGCAGTTTCTCAAGATTAAAGCGGAGCTACCGTGTGTAACACCACCCCCCACTCGCAATCGCCACGTACAAAAAAACACACATGATTCGACTATCAGTCAACTATAGGCAGGACTTGACTATTCGACTATTTGACCATGTAAATCCAGGGACAGCCCTAATCCTTTCTGCCGTCATCTGTCTGCATCTGTCTTGACTTCATCTGGCTTCATCATGTTTTCGCTTCTTTAGATTCACGCTCCGTGGGCTCGTGCTAAATAACACGTGTGTTATGTGTGTGTCTGTGTTTCAGCAAGGGCAGGTCTCACTGGCTTATCAACACACACACGCGCTGTCGAAAAACGGCGCGCTAGCAAGAGCAAATCACTTGTACAAATTCTAATGATGTGAAACCACATTGGCAGATGTAACAAGTGAACTCATTGTAGACTTTGTGGCTGTGTGGGAGGAGTCAGATATTTCGTTTTAAAGTTATGTCCAGTCAGGCTTTGTAAACAAGACGCACTTATACCATGTGTTTAGTAGTGATGTGCAATACCACTTAATTCCTATCCGATCCAATACCAAGTCATACTTTCTACATGTTTTATTTCTATTTTAATGTGACCTCCCCCTCCCGTTTCTGTATTTATGAGAGAAATAAGGAGTAGGCTGTAGCCTTACCAATTAAAAATAATAGCTGCATAATGACAAGACATCAAACTACTGTCATATTCTTTAATTATAATAAAAATATCCTGCTCAGAACTGCTGCTTCATAACATCATCATGTTATTTTGACTTAATCTCAGATGTTTAGCGAAGTTTGCAGTTTTGCCAAAGTATTTCACTGTCTTTGCACACACTTCACACACAGCATCATTATTACCTTCACAGCTAAAATACAGCCAGATGTGACTGTTTTTACAGTCAGCCATAGTCAGTATTCAATAGCGAGAAATGTAAAGGGCTACAGCGGCTCACTTCAAAGAAGCTCCGTCACAGAGCCGTAGCGCAAGCTTGACTTTGACAGGCAGAAGGAAAAGTAGTTCCTATCAACCGAGTAGCCTATAATTAGACCATCCTGGTGACAGTAAGATACTTATAATAAAACACACACTCACTCCAAATGACTGAGTTTAGATATCGATCCTTTTATATGAGTATCGATCCTAGAGCAGGAAACGTTGTTATCAGAAATATCAATACTTTAGGATCGATCCGCACACCACTAGTGTTCAGCATTTATAGTGAATTGTCCTCTATTAAATAGACAGTTTTTATATTAATATCCTACTGTTGGAGTACATTTATTGTAAATTTCTAAATGCATATTTGCACAATACATCAAATTTATTCATATTGTCTCAATTTGTAGTATTTTCTTATTGAATTGTTGAAATTTTATTCACCATCACACACTCTGATGACAAAATGTGTTTAAATTGTAAAACACAGAGTTCAGAAAGATTTAAATGGAAAACAGAAAAAATAAAACTGTATCTGGCAAAAATTACAACGGATTTCATAGCGCCCTATCCATGGTTTCAACGCCCAATATCTGTAGCAAGCACCATTAGGAGGTGGTACCTTCAGCGGTAAAAAGAGGAATGAAGAAGGTGATGAAAATAGGTGCACTGCTTCAATGACGACACCACGTATCCGTAACACGCCCGCTCCGCAGCACTAGTACAGATGTGCTAACAGGTAGGGTTAAGGCCCATTAATACTCCTGCGTAGGGTCTACGTACGTACCTACACCGTAGGCTACGCACGTTGCCAGGGGTTGGGACATACAGAAGTGCAATTCCCCTGGACGTGATAGGCCCAGAGGTTAAAGCAGGTAGGTGGCTCCCCCAAGGGGTCAAACAATATTACTGTGGATTGTGTTTGGCTCCCCCAAGTGGTTCAGCACCGCTTGACCATGGCACTGTGGAGTGTGTCTGGCTCCCCAAGTCTTAAAGTTGTAATGTTGCACAAGAATATTGATAAAATAATTTGTATACAAATAGTATAATATTATAATTGACAAGTACTGACCACACTTGCTCTTCATTTAGTGCCCTTATGAGGTGAATCAAGATGATTCTGGAACTGGATCTAACAATACAGTTCCATCATTTTCCACACACTGCATATTGGTCACCAGCTGCAATACATGTGTCTTTTATGCCTCATAATAGCATAGCTTATAATATCAAAAGGTATACTTTTGTTACCATTATTTTTACTGAATACCATTTATTTCTATGTGTCACTTCTATCTTACTGAATTCCTTTAAGACTAGGCTGGTTAAACCTACTTTAACATTTCTTATCACAAAAGTGCAAAATTGTCTGATATTGTTGTCCTTACATGCAAGTTATCTGCCACTCTATCCATGTCCCTATTTTTTGATAAACCAAAATACCCCCATGGTTGCATACATTAATATTCCACAACTCACTGTAGCAGTTGAATAAAGTGCATGAAATGCAGAACATGTGGGAAAAAAACACACTACAACTACAACTACTACTACACTACAGCGTTGACAAATTGTCAATGAACATGTTAAAGAATGAAATGCCAAACAAATTAAGACTTTACAATTTACAATATGTACATGAAAATAAGAAATATTTACAATTGAGTGATTGTGTTTCTGAATTTGTTCAATGAGATACTATTATTTACAGATAAAATAATTTCACATAAAATACTTTACTAACACCACAAAACTACAGTTAAGACAATTTAAAATGTATCACTGAACATGATTTAAGAGTGAAATCTAATGAAAATGAAAAAACTATTTACAATTTGTACAATGCAACTGTAAAATATTTACATATTTCTTACAAACTACAAACTATTTATTCCAACTGGTCAACTACCGAGGTGAAGTGTTCGTAGCTGCCATACACTCTGCTGTCCAGACCCTTGGATGTTGACATCATTTTTACTGGGCAGAAAGTCTTTCTTTTGTACTTTTTATGTCCCTGGGTTGGTTGGCCACAGAGTGTACAGACAGGAAGATTGTGCACCTGTGACAGTTCTTTCCTACTTCTGCAGGGTATTCCTTCACTTGAGTAGTGGGTACTCTGGGGAGAGTTGGAGTGACTGATGTAGGTGGACCAGCAATCCCTGAGGCTGCTTGACTAGCCGGCATTATGGGCCGCGTGGAGGTTGAAGGCATTATGGGCAGCGATGAGGGGGCAGGCATTATGGATGGCCATCTTTACCCTCTGTATCACAGCAGCATCAACAAGATCATCCCTTTTTTCAGTAGAGGGTGTTGCCCCAGTGGGTTCTGTACAGCTGGTTGAACCGCTGAGGCTGCTTGTCATGCTCCTCCACTGCATTCTAGACTTCAATGACCTTGTTCCTCTGCTCAGTGGTAAGTGACAGCTTATCCTCTGTAAGGCCAATCTCCACCAGCACAGAGCAGAACTTTTCCAACTTTTGAAAGCCAGGAAGAGGGTTTGGACTGCAGGCATCCTCCTGTTAAAAGATTGTCACACAAATGTTGTAAGTTCAAATGTGCATATTGTCCACCAACTTGTATTTCATTTTAGCAGACACACACAGTTACTCACAAAGGCCGGAGAAAGAACACTGGAGGTTTCATTGCTGGTGAGCGTAATGTGGGACAGGACGGCATCAAGCACATCGTCACGTGCCTCCGCATCGCTCTGGTATGCCTCGTCTGCCTCTGGATCTGGATCAGGCTGCCCAGGCTGAACCACCTCTTCCTCTGGACCAAGTCCATCACTGACAATGTCCTAACGAGAGAAGGGTGCAGATTCACCCGTGCTCTGGCTAAACAGGTACCCAACCCGAGCAGCTCATTAGAAGGGACATCAGCAGGGGCCTGGAAATTCTCCTCCACAGTCTCTCCGAACAGCTGTGATGTTTCATTGAATGTGTAATAAGCTTCAAAATATCAGCCTGTTTTGGGGCACTATCTAACATCCATCGCAATCCATTAAACAAAATCATTACAATGAGCAGCAAATTATCAGTTTTTACAAGAGAAGGACTAAACTAAAAGGAACACAAATACATTAGTATGTTATACTGTGCTGTGTTTCTGCCAATGTGAATGGTACACACATTGAGACTGTGCACAAATGAAGTTCCTAACAGATAACTTTTTTTAACTGAATTGTTGTTTTACACCAGGACTCACATGGAAGACTGCATCTACGTGTAAGACAATGCTCTCCACCACCATCCTCATAAGACCAAATTATATTAAGTTTCACAGACTTGGCAAGGAGCTCAGAAGCTGCTTTAGAGGCTTGTGGTGGCCTGACTCCTTACTGAGACACTACCTCATGTTTGTCTTTCCTTAGACATACTAAGTAAGTTTAAGACATACTTAAACTTATAGACTATAGGTTTACATCCTTAAACACATAAACAGAAGTACACAGTTAACAGCAACATCACTGTTGTCATTTCCACCAGAACCATCAGAAGAAGCAGCAAGAATGAAAGAAAGACGGGGGGCAATGTACCACATCCAAAGTCACAGTCCCAATTAGTTTTTTTCCCCCACCAAATTATGGTGGAAGAAAATACCTCCCATATCTGTTAGTGTCACCTCTAGGATGGTAGAAAGTCTGCCTTGAGGGGAGCAAATTAAACTCACCGTGTAAACCAGCTCTACTGGGAGTCCAATAAACACTTTCTGTGTGTTTTTTTTAGTTGAACATCACATTAGAATAATGACAGGGTCACAGGTTTAATTTGTTGTTAAGTATACAGACTACTCTTGTGTACCTGGAATCATGTGAGGCAGAGATTTGTGGAATCCTTCCAGGCTGTTGCTTCCACGACATTTGTAGTACGGCACATCCACATTGTTGATGGTTGTGGTGTGCGCCACCCTGTACATGTTCATGTCTGGTGGATCCTGGATGCACTCCAGGTGTTGCTGCTGACCTGCCCACATCTCATTAATGGCCTCTGTGAATACACATACATACATACAGTGTTATGTTCACCTTGTTTGCTACACTATCTCTATCAACTTTTTTTTTGCATATGATCTTGAATAGCCTGCTGGATGAGCCGGAATGTTTCCTGAGCCCCGAGTGTGACCCTCCGCACATGGTGTTTGAGCTGCTCCCTGGAAATGTAGTGGCGGACAACATCCTCATCTGAGACAGACTTCAGCGTTGTCGGATCCTTGGCTCTGACGGCCTTGATGAGCAGCTCCAGGTCAGTGCGGTTGTAGGCCAGCACGGCCCCAGCTACAGCAGACTTGAAAAAAGCGTACTTGGAGTGAGACTCTGTGCGTATGGCTGCGTCAAACCGGTGGATCCAGTGGAAGATGTCCAGACGCACAACCATCCCATTGTCCATCCATGGCTGGAACAAAGTCTCCACCCCTGTCGGGCCCTGCGCACGGCAACACCCACGGTCCACATACAAGATTTTGGGCACAGGCTGATTGGCTAGTCGGAATCTTTCCACGATTCCACGGCACATCGGTTCCAGCTACTTAGTGGACTCCTCACAGGTCAGCACAAACTAAACTATTTGGGAGTGCTCGTTTCCGATGCTGGTGAACACTCAGCGGAGCCTTGACCCTCCCCAGACAGCTTCTTCACCACCTAAAAAATATGACAAGTTTGCATAATGTGATTAAATTCTATTGACACGTGGGTTGTCTTCATTATTTAGCAACAGTGTAAAAATGTGTTTTAAACTGAATCACAAATCATGCTTTTTACATTTACATACTTTCTTGGTCGAATCCATTTTCAGCACAGTGCCAAAAGTGGACAGGATCTGGCTCCGGTAATCCTGCACATTGTTGGCCTCTGCCAGCAGGAAGGCGTGTCGCAAGAGCCGAGCAGAGGGAAGCTCCCTTGGAGGAGGTGGAGCCTGGAACGTGTGCCTAAACGCAGAGACAATCCCTCCGGGTTGCGCTACGGTCATAAGGAGCGTGGTGCACATGTCCTTACGTTGAAGGTACTCCTCAACGTGGTTCTCCTGTATCTGCTGCCACACCTTGACCATAGTGTTCCCTTCAGTCCGGTCCCTCAGAAGGCGCACAACATTCCTATCCACACATAAGTAGAGTCACAAATATGTTGAGGATGATTTGAGTAGCTTCTTTTTTCGAAATTTGTTAAATGCACACATTATGTTCAGTATATTACTCACTTGCTGGTGAGGATGGCAGGGAACACAGCTTGATGCGCCTCGCTAAGTTGAGATAAATTAGCGGGATCCCATGCAAGCCAACAACCAACGGTGCCACCTTCTCCGCTCCTTGCTGCTTTTGTGCATGGTCCGCAGCACAGGACATCAGTGAGCGCTGTGTACCAGCTGGACACATCACAGGTGTGACATACCTAAAGTACATATGGGGAAAAAATGAACATAGGCCAATGACTTTCTGTGTTCTTTTTTCCTGCATGTTTACATACATAGTAATAAATCGTCTACTGTAATGTAATAAATCTAACACAGGGGAAGTGAGTTGTACCCGTGAATGGTAGCCAAACTTGTAGAGGTGCACTTTCCGCCCTCTGCCCACACACTCATCACCTCGAGGACACTTCAGAGAGTACCTCCACACTCCAACAGGGCACCACACAAAGACACAGCTCCGGGAAAAGAGCTGTGGAGTTAGCAGAGCACCCCCAACACAGCCTGGAGGTTCTGGTGGGTAAAACCACATGCGGTCTGACTTCATCACCCGTCGCCTCTTGAACAGACCAGTGTTGTCCTTATAGATTTGTACAGGGGTGAACAGTCCTCTTTCTGTGTCCTCTTTGAGCCAGGAAATGTCGACATTTGGGATGCCATTGGGGTTTTCCCACAGACGCACCCAACCCTCTAGCTCCACCTGCAACAACACAACATTTGGTTATCATCAAAGTTTAAAATAAAATTTAAAAAAAATCATGTAAAGCAAATTGTTCTCATTTACATTGTTTGAATATGAGGATATCACTTACAGGGGAGTCACGGTTGTGGATGGGGGCTCGCTAGGCTGGCTAGTGGACACATGCTGCTTGGGCTGGACAGGGGCCTCTGTCTGTTCTGCCCGAACAGGGGCCTCAGGCTGCTCAGTTCGGACGTGGGCCTCACGCTTTTTGGTCCTGACAGAGGCCTCAGGCTGTGTAGGAGCCTAAATGCAGTTTACTGATAAACAGAAATATTACACTAAGTAGCATGCAATAACTATAAAGTTCATATGTGAAACAGTCATTGATATGTTCATTGAAGTAGAAGTAATTTCTCGTATTTAAAATGTGTGTGGATGATTTACAGTGTATAAAAATCTCATTTATATTACATTTGGGAAACAGACGAACATGTATGACTGTCGTTTCCTTCCTTTTTTGTATTATGATTTTTTTTTCCTTTAATGGCTTATTGTCTGTTAACTCTGTATCTCACTTGCCTTCCACAGCCTGGCATGCAGCTAACAGTTCAGTGTCATCGTCGTCGTCATCATCTGGCAATGACGAAGGACCACACATGAAGGGGCTTGCCTGTGGCTGCTGGACAACAAATGAAAAGGGACTTTCTAGATGTTTTTAATTACCAAAAGCAAACAGACACATTTAGCCTAAGTGTTTAAAATATCAGTTATTTCATCAGAATTTTCATTTACTAAGCTACTCTTACTGTTTCATGACAAACAAATAAATAATCACATAAACACTTACTCGCTCTTTGTCAGTGATATACTTCCTGAACCTCTTCATCTGCACGCTTGTGATGTGGGTGACTGCTGTGTTTAACCACCGCCTCACAGAACTGCATGACTTCTGTATTATCTCCCTCGGCTCATCACTGAATTGCTCTGGTCTATCCTTATGGGCTTGGTACTGGCTGTAGATTTCCCACATCTCTTGAAAAGTGTGATTCTCAAACCCTCTCTGACTGTAGATACACCTGTCGACGTTGGCCTCAAGGAGACAGGAGATTTGTGGGAAGCTCTCAGCATATTCTGTGAGGTAGTCTTTCACCCACTGGTTCACCAAATCTCCCTTCTATGTGGGTTTTTCATCTCTAATCTGTGCTTGTCAAGCACACTGGAAACATATACATCAACTTAGTACTGCCATAATTTATATCACTGCAACTGTGATAATCATCATATAGTATGCTTACTACTTCATGTAGCCCACATCGTTTGCCACAAGCCAGTGAAACGGTGCAGTCAAATACTGGCCAAATGGCACCACCAGCTTTCCCAGGCACAGCTGATGTGACGGCGCAGGAATACCCTCTGCTCGGAGGAGCCTCTCTGCGTGGACCAGGGCAGTGGCCTGGTTATAAGTAGCTCCTGTGCAGGTTTAGGGAAGACCATTCTTTTCTCCCGATGGCCTCTTTGGTCGACATCAGTACGGCCTTGCATCTGGCTTGACGACGCGGATTACCGGGGGCGCCATCTTCAGTTGCAGCTACTGAAATACACACACAACAGGAGCGACAACAGCATTATTAGTGTCATTACATTAAGATAACATATTAATTACTAATATAAAAATAAATGTTTGCGAACAGTAGGTCATTAATACCATTTTAGCACAAAGCAAGGAACAGTAGAAGAAGTGTCAGAGCAGGGTGAGGAGTGCTAAACCCTCAAAACAGCTCTGAGGGAGAGTTAATTAACTCCTGACTGACTGTTTCCCATGTATCTGAATTTTTTCTTCTCCAGTGTACATATCATCTTCACATTCAAAATATTTTGCACCAAAGGTTGCCAGTAACACAAAATATTTTCCAGTCATTATTATTAACAAATGACAGGTAATGACAGGTGTAAGTCAGTAGCTAATACCCGAATTTCTTCAAATGTGGGAACAATGAAGTTTATCTTACCTCCGCACTGCGTCCAGCCTTCCAAAACTATAGTCTATACGGCGAGTGTTATTAATAAATCCAATTTTAGGAGTGTTATTATTAATAGATCCAATTTCAGTCGTACCAGAACAGAACACCTTCGGCAGCCGCAGTGGGATCCGCTGTGTTGCGCGAGCATATCGATGCGTGATTGGCAGTCTGCGGTGGAGTTCTGCGTCCCGATTGGCAGTATACAGTCCCTCTCCACCAACCAGGGCGCGCGACTCACTGTAGAGTTTGCACTCGTATTGCGCTCCGCCAACGTAAAGGGCGGTAAAATTGTATACGTAGTTGCATTTTTGAGGAGGTGCACGTCACGCGACGGCGTAGCCTCTGCGTAGCCTAGCCGTCGATTTCACGCAGATGTATAAATTGCACTTTAGCGTCCCTTCTGTTGCTGTAACGTTTCATACGGACGCTGAAGGGTTAGCGTAAAATCCTTACGTTTTGTCACGCTGTCTGAAAGCGTCAGTTATGACGCACTGAAATGAGAATGTGTTTGCCACCCTCCCGTGAAAAAATCCTTGTGGAAACACTGTATTCAAATACTATAATAGCCTATGGACAATTCACAATGAATGCATTGCAACGTGTATTGTGAATAGTCCAGTTGCTGAATACACACAAAAGGTGGGTCTGACAGAGGCTACTCACCTGGGCTGTGAACATCCTAGTTTACAAAGCCTAATGGGACATAACTTTTTAGTTTTAACAGAAAAACTCCGTTCACACAGCCCGCAAAGTCTACAACTAATGTGTCTAGCATCTGTCGATGTGTTGTGTTGAAGTGATGAGCTCTTGCTAGTGCAGTGTGTTCGACATACAGTTTGTGTGCGCGCGTGTGTGTGTGGAGGAGACGCTGTGTGTTGAGCGCCACCCTCTCTGAAACACTGACAGAGAGGACAGGGGCAGAGCATGTAAACTCCAAAACATACACTTTAAAAATTATCTAGGTGGTTCAACTTCAATTGCTGCCTAAAAAATGTAAGTAAACTCAACTTTAAGAAAAGTTTCAACCCATGATGATACGTTATACAATTTGTTTAATTAATGATAATTTGTTGTTTGAACTTAATACTGTGAGTTAAATCAACTATCTATATTACATTGTCCATTCAAGGAAACTTTCACTCAAGGAAACTTTCACTTGTCTAACAAACATACAATTCTACACCCCTTCAACTCACATTTTTAAGTTCAGATAACTCAACTTGAAAATTGCCTTTGTTTCAACTCATAAATTTAAGTTCATAAAGTGGATATAACTACAGTGTTCTAGTTGTCCCAATGTTAGTTAAATGAACAAGTTTGAGTTATTCTAACTTATACTTTCAAGTTAAAGCAACTTAACCAAATTAATACTACTTTCCCTTTCAAGTTAAGGGATTTAAATTCCAAATTTGTTTTAGTTTACATCTATAAAGGGCCTTGAAGACAGACCACAACAGCACCACTGTGCTATTATCTTCATTGACTTGTGACGGGGCAGGGTAGCAGCTTGCTGGTTCAGCAAATGCTGTTCAAAATAGCAGCAGATGTCACCTCCTTTCTGAAAGGGCCTTAAGGCCGTTGTCTGGAACCCTTTCCACCGGTGGCACTAGTCTTGTTTACCACAGATATTCTATTGATATTCTATATAGTCTATATTTCAGTTGGAATTTGAATATATGACTTATCTGCAGTGTATAATTAGCAGGGGTGAGCAAGAGCACCAATTTTTCTGTATCTGTACTCAGAATTGGCGGGGCTTAATCTATAAGTGGGTGGTATTAACTGGAAGTTACTTAAGCCTGAAATTTCTATCAGAACTTGCTATATTTATTAGAAAACCATTTACAGAACAGCCTCAGAACTGAGCTTCAGAGAATAGTAATTGATTTTTTTATATTCATATATTTATTCAGATATTGACACATTTTACTCTGATGATACTCATAGAAAGTATCTGTACCGCATACGCGTTTTAACCAAGTACTTGCTAAACCCTAATAATTAGTTGATTATGTATATGTTTTTCTCAAACTCAGAAGCACCTAGGCAATCCTCATACTCTCGCCTTTTTTTCAACTGATAACTTATATACATAAGTTCAATCAACACGACAAAAGTGTCAAATAGTCAACACAATGAATTAATGCAAGTTTAACTTTCTAAAACTCATACAGTTGAGTTCAAAATCCAAAACTTGTCAGAGCTATTTGAGTTAAAAAGAAGAAGTAAGTTGACATGACTAAATGGGTCTATGATTTTTTTCAGTGTAGCAGCATAGTTTTTTTCTGTTTTTTAGTGTGGCTTAAGTGCTGTGGGCAAATCACTTAGGCTATAATGCATGGCAACTCCTGATTTTTATAAATTGTATTAACCCTTTGGCAGATTCCATGATATTCCGCGTCTTACAGTTAATTGCATTTTTATTGTAAAATTCTGCGATTTCTGCAGCCTTCGGGGAAGGGGGGGATGACAACAATAGTAGGGGAAACACTGTCAACCCAAAGTGGAACCTGGTCCCACAGGAGAGGAGCTTGATACCTGAAGGCTCCCTTTCTACTTTTGGAAACCCTAGGAACCACAAGTAACCCTGTGTTCCGGGAGTGCTCTAGTTGGGTAATAAGTAGGGATGTGACAAGACATTTAGCTCACGAGATGAAACCAGACAAGATTCTATCACTATTTTTAAGAAATCTTCAATGTTGAATTATATGAAAATTTTGAGCTTTAAACACTTAATTTCCTGTATTCTGGGTAATTCTTTATTTATGTAAAGGAAAACTTCAAGGACATTAAGGTGACAGGTGACAATTCAAAATCTAAAACTAACAGAATCAGGCATTCTGTGTTGCTTTCAGATATGTATTCTTCTGTAGATCAACTTTTCTCATGTAATATCCCAGCTAAGCCAACACACGTGCAGACTAGTGATGGCAAGTTCGACTCTTTTGACAGACTTGTTCATTCAAATCTCGTTCATTAAAATGAACTAATCTTTTTTTGAGTCATTTCGTTCATTTGAACTAGGCTGGTTATTGTGGCGCTGCAGCCCTCTAGTGGGCGATTAAAAAACACGGAAAGCTGCCTGGCTTGCTTTATTTGACAAAGTATAATGCACAAATTCACTGTATATCATCATTATATACACCCCCCTGGGCCCACAACCAAATTCAAACCATATAAAAACCACAGAAATATGTTGTCTATATGCAATCACCACTACTCCGGCTAAATCTTTCCATTGTCACAATCTTTCCCGGCTTAAAGGCTTATGTATATAATTACTATCATTATC